TCCGCTAGGGCCACTTTGATGGCCTTTGCCTTTATAAGTGCCGAGAAATTTCAAAATTCTTAATTTTCAGTGGAATGGGATGACCACACCAACCACGAAGATGCCAAACCATTACGAGAGCTTACCACTTTTGCCAAACATTCATGATGAGTGCTGTCGCAAGCATTATACCTACAATGAATGCTCTATACTAATATTTCATCATTCGGTTATTGCGCACCTAGATTATACCCGTTTAAATTTAAATGTTTGAAAAAAGCATGAGCATAAAATTTAAAAAATATACGAATATCGGCACTGCATTGCACGAACTCTGTAAACACAGCTGCAAAATATTCAAGCGATTTTAGTGAATGAATTCAAATAAAATTTATAAGCCCTCGAAAACGACCATTTTGTGCATTTCGTTATAAATTGCCGCACAATATTGGTAGAAAAAATCTAATTTTCCATAGTTGGCCAACAACAGCTGCGTTCCGCACTGCGTTGTTCTCACTGCTGCCACCACCACACCCAAGCTCCTGCCACCACACCCAAGCTCCTGCCACCACACCCAAGCTCCTGCCACCACACCCAAGCTCCTGCCGACCCGGCTACTACCTACATATGTATGTATATATATAGTACTCATTGCCAGCCAGCACCAATAGGTGCTGCTCCAATGCCAGCAGCTAAATTAAACATCGGCAATGGTAACAGTAAATGCTGCTCGCGCTACTGACACTATTCTTGCCACTTTTTTTCGGTGTTGTAATTGACGTTGACATTGTTGCAGTCAGTTGGCAAGATTTCGCTTGCCATCTTACAAATTTAACTATCGTTTCCTTACCCAGCACTTTGGCTCTGCATGCCTTGCTTGCTGTTCTGCTTTCCACTTCACCAAAACAACTCACTACTAGGCGACTGGTGTGTCTTTTACAGATAGCTGAGATTAATTTTGTACTTATTGGCTATTTTCCATTCTACGTTCTCCTTCTTCCTTTTCGGCAGCAGTGCAGCTGACAGTTTATCATATTATATTACTCGTACCTACATAGCTTTTCCCTCACGAATGTTTCCTTGCTTTCCACTTAGACGTACAACTGACTGTAACTTTTCTGTTGTCCGATTTGAGCTCAGCAATTTTTCTCAAAAATGTGTGTTGAAAGGCTAGAATTCGGTGTTGACAGTTGAGATATCTAGCCCAATGACGGAAGTCTAATTTGTGCATGTAAATGGTTGAATGGTTTTAGTTGCACTGTAAGCTGCAAGTTAAGATATTTGAAAAAAAGTGGCCTTGCTTGAGAAGTGTTTTTGACCGTATTTTAAAATAATTAGCCCTAAACAAACTAAATTAAAAGATAAATTTCAAGAGAGCGCAAGTTCCCGTAGATAAGTGTTCCGAAGAATACTTTTCTCGAAAACTCCAATGAGCAAAGGGGGTTAAGGGGTTGTTGAGCCCACTGATGTGGGTGTCATCGGCATCTTTTGAAGAAGTGGTAAGGATATAAATTCAAAGAAAAAATACATAAAACTCATTAAAACAAATTTACGAAGATTAGTTCTTTTTCTAATTGGGCACAACAATCGTTGGTCGATTTGGGCCGAGACCAAAAATCTTCGCCAGTTGTACAATAAAGTTTTTGCAAAAGAATAACAATGGCATATTTTTTAAAGAGGGAACAAAGCTGATCATTTTCGCGAAACAAAGTCACAGTCCAACATGTCTAAGTATTAGTTTATTTACATCCAAAACCTAGCGGGTCATCACGTGTCTGCGGCTATAAAATTTGGAAAAGTTAGAGAATTGATCCTTGTTTATTTTAAAAGGTTAAAAATTCAGTACCTCCACTTCAACCCGCCGCTATCTGTTCTTACCTACCTGTTTAAAGTTTTTTTTTTTTTAAACAACGGATAACTACTGAGTAATATATTTACAAATGCCGTATAATGCAATCGAGAAAAATGTACCCTAATAACAGCCTAGAAAGAAAAATAAAACCCTTTCCACAAATCAATTAATAAGAGAAATAAAATATCACAACAATCTGGTTGTCAAAGAAACGAATTTCATAACTATTTATTTCAAACCTATTTTTAAGGGTGTTGTCACCCGTCAAAGAAGTGAGATTCAATTTACAAGTAAGCTATATTAAATATCACAATAATTTATGTGTCGAACAAAAGGGTTTAATACGATTTATTTCGAAATATTTCTTTAATAGGGTTGCCACCTGTTTAAAATTTTAAAATGAATTTGATAACTAGTTAAACGAAATATTTTATTATACATATCAAAGAAGAGGGATTTATGAAATATTTTTAAAGGGGGCTGCCACCTGTTTAGGAATTGCAAATGAATTTAAGTAACAAGTTAAATAAAATATTTCAATACCGGTATCAAGCGAGAGAGGTTTAAAGAAAGCTGTTACTATCTCGAAAATATTTTTGACTAGGGTTGCCACCAGATAAGAATTTCAAAATCAATTTAGTTTTTCTCAAACGAGAGGTTTAAGAATACTTTATTTCGAAAATATTTTTTAAGAGAGTTGTCACCTGTTAAAAAAGTTATATTAATTAATTAAAATTATGGATATCATACGATGGATTATGGATATCATACGGGAGAAGTTAAGGAAAGCTGTACCTACATACATTTCTCCAAAATATTTTTGACGAGGGTACAATAGATTGGTTGAAAAGACTGGCGGCGGATGGGTTAGCTTATGAAGTTCTGAACTAAAACCGGAACGAAGCAAGGCGAAGTAAAGCGAAGCTAAAAGGTGTTCATACTGAATGAGGCGGAGCGGAAGTTTTCGCATAGAATCGGCTGTAAGGACACCACAAAACTTAACTTCAATGAAAAGCGACTAAAATATTTGACGAATTTTTTTCAAAATATCTATCAGAAAATAAATTATCATTGAATTATTTTCAGCTTTATAAAGTAAAAAAATCAAATCAATGTTGAAGACCTCAACCTAATTATGCAAGTTATTAAGTTAATTGTGGATCTTAATATTCTAAATAGTTGCAAACGGATTTACGGGCATAAAATCGCAATTGATGAAAAAGAAGTTAATAGAAATATGTATTAAACCATCACTCAAATGAAATCTGATCAAATGTCAACGAAAGAAATCGAGACTAAAAAATAAATAAAAAAATTAATACAACATATAGTCGGTGCATATGAAGAAAATAACCCGTTCCTCATGCGAGACAGGATGCATAAAAAAACAAATAAGAGCAGTGCTGTCTTTGGCTATGCCGAAGGCTTCATACCTTTCATGACCATCAGAGAGTTTTCTTTAACAGATTACTGTATTTGTATTTGTTTCCACAGCATACATAGATAGAGGAGTTGCATACGTATGTATATGTATGAAAAAATCATATCTAAAAAATTAGTGGCATGGAAGTCATCTATACATAGTATAAAGGAAAGTCGAGATTTTTTGTACGCGGTAATCTCGAAAACTATTGAACGGATTTTTACAAGTTTTTTTCTAATATATTCTGTATCGATAGGAGAGTGACCTTTTTAATTTAGAATTTTATTAGGGTTGCCACCTTTAAGAAAATTACTTACAAACGTAGGCCTGCACCGTCACTGTCAAATGCAAAGACTTAGCCTTTGGATCTGTAATAATGTATTGTTTTTGTAAGTAGGGTTGCCACCTGTTTAAATACTATAAGCTCTTCACCGTTCGTTAGATAAAAAATGAGATACCAAATGAAAGTGCATGGCCTTCGCATGTACAAAAACTTTAAGTTTTTTGAGTAGGGTTGCCACCTATTTAAAATTACTATCTTCTATACATAATATAAAGGAAAGGCGAGTTATCTTAACCACGCTACTGAACGGATTTAGACATGATTTTTTATATATATAATAAACGAAGTACATGATGACATATGATTTCTTTCTCCAAATACGTAAATCTACATTCATATGCATACATTCAGCGCATCCGTGGGCGGCTAGTACATTATAGAGCACCAATCTAAGTGATTTTCACTGTTGTGTGTAATCGGTATATAAAGCGGTAATACAATTTAATGTGCCTAGCTGCCTAAATAAAGGAGTTATGTACAGTATATTTGCTTTGCTGTCTCTGTGCTACCCCAAAATTGCGCATCAGCGGCCTTATTTTTAACATTTACAAGGAAAAAGCTCCGATAGATGCATTCGACAAACCTGCACATTAGCGATATCTACCTTAAAAAATTGCATGAGGAATTTCAAGTTCCTAGCTACATAAATGGAGCAGTTATATAGAAAATTTCCATATCTGAACAATCAGTTATATGGGAGCTATATGTTATAGTGGTCCGATTTGTCTGGTTCCGACAAATGATTACACCATTATAAAAATACACCTACTTACTAAATTTCATCCGGATATCTCGAAAACTGAGAGACTAGATTGCATACAAACAGACGGACAGATGAAGATGGCTAAAATGACTCAGCTCGATGCTCTGATTAAATAAGTATACATTTTAGTGAGTCCATCTCTTCTTATTCTGGTACTTACAAACATCGGACCATATTTATAATGCCATTTCATGCTCCTAAAAGGTATAATAAGAAGTAGACACGTAACCATAGTAGTCCGCGAAAAAAGACACTCGATAAAAGTAGGCGCGGTCAGAGCGTTGGAAGCGAATATTCAAACAAATTTTCGTGATGTGTCTCTCTTCGCCTTATTTTTTAATGCGTGCTTTCTCGCATGGGAGAAGTATTATATTTGCACACATACATATATGTAGACGTGTCTGTTTTCGCAAGCAGCTTTTGAACTCGAGTCTTTTTCGTATGCACCGCCGGTATTGACTATTCCGATATGTACTCATATTAAATATCTTTCATGCCAGCTGGAAATTGACAAAAATATAATTTTTTTTAATTATTTGTAGTTTGTGATTATTTAGTTTTAAGTCATTGCTTGAAAAGTTATTTACAAACACATCCTAAAAATAGTAGACTTAGAAGACTAAAAATAATAGAAGCCTTATCCACATTGGCATATTCGTTATTTTATGGTACTGTTATACTCTTAAATATATGTATGTACCTCTGCACCACTAACATGGCAGGTAATAGCCATATTGGAATGTGAAGTGCTAATATATTACTATCACTTTCTTAAATGTAAAATTTAAAAATTAAATGTTAATCATATCAAAGTTTATCACTTCTTTTTACTAATTTATGATTTTTAATTAAATAAAATGAAAATTTTTTTTTTTTTGTTGTGGTTAGGTTTTTGTTCAAGCAGGTTTTCATGTCGACTTTCTTAACTAATAAATTTGATGATCACGAAAGATTCCTACAATATCTGGCGATCTCTGAGTAGGCACAGCCATGGCTACAACACTCGTCCGCTACACCATAGACACGGGGTTGCGATTGACGTCTCAAGCGTTTACCAGTGATTTGATGTTTCCTTCGCCAACGCGCCTCCGTTTTTAACATCTGTTTCAAACTTGGCTTTCGTTTATGCTTCGTAGGCACTAATGTGTCTAGCTGATCGAACTGTTCTTTGAATATGTGTGGTGACAGAAATATATCCGCTTGCCTGCGACTGCGTACACGCTGCAATGCTCCACCTATCATTTACACAATACATACAAGCATTAGGGTATGTATTTGTTTCACGGTTATTGTTTTTTTTTTTCAAAATAATCACAACTCCTACATATTTATGTATGTATGTATGTATTGCTTTCTTTTCGCATATTACTTACTCAAATTCTTTTTGTTGAAACCATTTTTGCAAATCGACATCAGCATATCATCGAGTGATTCACCGCATAGTACTCGCCCTCTTTTCTGTGCTTCACAGACTTCTGCCATGAACAGGATCGATAATGCCAACAGAATTGGCCAATACCTCTGCCTCCATGGTTCCCTCAATTTGGAGTAAGCTGGTGCCATTTTAAGCAACCTTATTAAATTTTTTTCACATCTCGCTCGTACTGTCTAAGTAGCGAACTTTACAGCGCCAGCGATTATTCTAAACTGAGAAATGTAAAAACCTTGTAAATTACTTAGCTCATAGCATATAGTTTTATATAGTTGTGTGTATGAGTGTGCACGGATGCGTGTATGGCTGGCTATATATGCATGCATTTGGGACGAACAGCTGTTTGGAATAATGTTCTGTATCTACGTTAGGTAGAAGAGTTGTACGAATAAATGTGTATATGTATGCCTACATAAAATACGCATGTTTGTTAGGGTGTTTATGTATTTTTAATATACGGATGTGTATGCACATTAGGGTGGTCCAAAAATGTAAGAAAAATTTGCTAAAAAATAATTAGGTATTATAACTGGAGATCTCCTGAAGAGAAACAGGGTTTCCGGTCGAAAAATACTGATTTTTAAGATTTCTATACCAATTCTACGAAAAGTTGTTTTTTCCCATATAAAATACATGGAAAACTTTGAGCGCCTTGAGCGACCCCTAAATATTTTTTGATATCAAAATAAAAAATGGGGTACACTTCTATTCGGCATAGAACAATCCTAGGGGATGAGAGCATTAAAATTCCGACTTTACTTGTTTTGGACCACCCTAATTCATATACATAGTACTTTTATGTATTTGGAACGGCATTTCGTATAGAGAAATTTTGTTTTGTTGACTGCTGACTGTTGACCTTATTGAAAATTGTACCTGCTCGCTTCTTAACAATGATTGTTTGTGTGAATTGCTTATTCCAACACATGCAATGTAACTTAGAGCACCCGAAACTTAAGTTTTTTGCACTTTTCATTAATTTATTACTGATCTACAATATTTTTTTCTGTAGAATATAAAAAAAAAAATGCCTAAATAGAGGCAGAGAACAACTATTAATCGCTATTCTTACTAAATATTTAAGCATATATGTACATAAATATGTATGTTATTGTTTATGCGTATTTTGGTATGATATACAGAGTGGTAAAATATAATTTTATTCAATATGCATTTTGAAAAATAAAAATGTATACAGTTATACTTAAGAGAGGTAATCTGAAGCCCAGGACACTCTTGAATATTACATAAATTTTGCTTCCTTCCGAACAGTACAAACCGTTGTGCTTCGGTATCGGTTCTGGAAAGCGCGGAGGAGTGGAGAAAAGATATTAATACTCTACCCGATAGTTTTAACAGTATACACAGATCTGAAAATATCGTTTAGTTACCAGACTACTGCAGCATATTTTAAAAAGTGGACTTGCAAGCAAACATTTTTTAAATACTCTTAAAACTCTAATATCTCGAAACGGCCAACAAAGCCTTCTAAACTTGAACGTATATTCGGTACAAGCACATTACTTTAGTTACATTTAAAATGTAGCCGAATTACTGATGGAGAAATTTTCTGTTATTTTCAAAGTCATTTCAATGCGTTTTCTAGTGTAGACATTCCAATAGGCTCCCCTCCTGTGTTAAGGGGCATACAATTTGAATAAAATATTAGTTTGGCTTCAACTGCTAGCTGAAGTTCCGTTCAAGGCCATTTTTAATAGGAAATATTGCTTTATGTAAGTCCAAAAGTAGATATGATACCGTAGGAAGAGATAGTCTACCAACTATAAGAAAGACATACATACATACTTACTTTTTAGGTACGTTGATCTATTTGTAGGTAAAATTTTTCAGCAAATAGGTAGAATATGATTAATTTTTCATCACTGGTGCGAAAAATACGTTTTGATGTCACCGCAAAGGTGGATGCTGTCAAACCGACAAAGAGAGGTTAAGAATTGTTTCGAGAGGTAATAATAAGAAAATATATCATGTTGGATCTACTTCTGATGTCCGGTTTAATGGTTTCGTTNTTTTTCAGCAAATAGGTAGAATATGATTAATTTTTCATCACTGGTGCGAAAAATACGTTTTGATGTCACCGCAAAGGTGGATGCTGTCAAACCGACAAAGAGAGGTTAAGAATTGTTTCGAGAGGTAATAATAAGAAAATATATCATGTTGGATCTACTTCTGATGTCCGGTTTAATGGTTTCGTTATAGCTAATTTCCTCCTTTATTTCCACTAAAATATATTATGCTCATGTGTTTTTAAGGAAACCATCTCTCATAATATGCACCTGCGTCAAGTATGTACTATGCATACAAAAGTCAGGTGAGCGCTCAATATCAGCTGCTTGAGGAGTCAGGCTGCAAGTAGCGCTCAAAATATTTGGTTATTAAATCTCACAGCTGTGACCGTAAGTGACTAAACGTTTTGTTTACTAAAACGTATGTATGTATATGTATATGAGTATACTATGTATGTAGGAACCCTGCAGTGAAAAACCGAACCAGTCAGTACAAATACCAGTTCATTACCGAGTATGAGCTAAGGCGATGGCCTACCAGTTCGATAAATCGGAACAATTTATGCCATCAGCGACATCTGCTTTCGAATTTTCTATGTCAAATGTCGGCTGCGGCATCGCGTGAAGACTACCGGTTCTGGTTCTCTGAGGTCGCAGGTTCGAGTCAGTCTGGAGGTGGTTAATAATTCAAATAAAATTAAAGCAAATTAATATAATTACTGCAATTTATACATAAATTAAAAATTTTTTAATCTTATTTCATTTGGAAAAAATATATGTAAAGAAATACTTGTAGCATAAAATTTAAATGAAAAAAGTTATACGGTAACATACATAAAAAAACAATATTCAGACGAATTGATAACCTTCTCCTTGTTTTGACGTCTGTTAATAATAGAAGTAATTTTTAAGCAAAAAATAAAAAAAAATATCTTTACAAACCTCTTTTCCTTGCTAGCGTCAATTTTTGTTTACTTTTACGTTTGACATTCTCCCAAATATAATCGATAAAATGAGGTTGTACACCAAAAAGTTATCGGTATAATCTAAGATTATTTTATAATTATAACATTGTATAGCTAATCTCTTTTTCTAATTACAGAAAATGAGGATAATCTATTTATATGTAAACCTATTATTAGCCGATTCAGTTACATAGATACGCTTGTAGGTTAGATTAGAAATCAAACATAAATTTCACTTAATTTTATTAATTTCACTGATTTAAACCTTTTTATTCATTTTCATTTTTAATTCTTTTAATACACGAAATTACCGGTATGATTGATACAATATGATACTTATATACACTTGTGCCTTAGGGGCGTTAAAATATCTTGAAAACACCGCATCAATTACGGTTTTTGAGCTTTTAGTTTGAGAATTTCTATTCGTATAAATTCCTAAATTTAATCTGTGGTTCTGATTCATTTGCCGCTAGGTTTACGTTACAGTCATGAATACATATAGCATGATGGGAAGCTAAATTCATTTGTTCGGCATTTTATCTTACTCTCGTCTTCTCTTCGTGCAATCTTGTATCAGCTCTGATCAAGTACTCAATAAACGTACAGGTTTTTACACGAACTTTCAGGAAATTACAGGAAAAATTATTCAGTACTCCAAAATCCTGTAAACGAGAGGAATTTTTGAAGAGTTGTGTACATACGTACATGGGTGTAAAATATGCTGCGATCCGCTTATACATACATATTTCCCCTCACCCGGGCAATCTGTTTTTGGTATCCATTTGTCTCTGTCATCTTCAAACTGTTTTTACACATTGCACGTGTTTGTAAATTGATGACGAAGTGATTTTGTATGGAAAAGCACTTATGCCCATATATTTGAATAAAATAAACATACTTAGAATATATGAACCAATACTTTCCATATACCGGAAGAAAGGAAAGGACCTGAATTTTTGACTAAACAAAACAAAAATAAAATCGTTTGAACTGTTTTCGAGAATTTTGGTATTTAAAAAAATTTGCAAATTTTTATTTTTTTTTTTATATTTGCCTTTAAATACTCGGCATTTGCTGAATTTATATAAAGTTTGTACACGATAATATTTATACTGATCTAAAGAACCTATATCCTGAAAATGATTTTTATATCTGCCAACCATAAGTTGCAAGAGCACTTTAAAAGCTCAAAATTGACCCTAAACTAAACCAATATTTACCGTTGTCTCTACGACAGACACCAAATTGCTTACTGACATAAATGTATCTGTCGATAGGTTTGGAATTTTGTCTTTGAAACGGCATACCCTTTTTTGAAATCGCTTGACTAGTTCTCGTGCAATAGGCGCTTTCGTGAAGCTCTAAAAATTACAACTACAACATTTGAGCATAGCGTCCATATCGAAACGTAAGACGTATTCTACGTAAAAATTCCCTGCACAAGAACTCGAACCCGGGACCTCTGGAGCGACAAGCTAATGCATTGCATGTCGGCCATGGCAACTGTTAGAGCGCCCCGAGGAAATGGCATTCTTATTCCTTTCAAGGGGGGTAAATTGGCCGACTATCCTATCAACTGGTATGATGCTAGTACTATTTGAATTAGTAGATGCTGATGCATAGCCTGACAATTGACATCTCGTAGGACATCGCCATGTTAAAAACACCAGTCGCTAACATTCAGAAAGGAGAGGTCTTGGACCAGTTGTGCTAAAATGCAAACTGGTAGCATTCTAGTTCACAACTAGTAGGTTTCCCTGCAGGGCACGTATGCCTGCATTCATACATGCAAATATATTAGACTGCATCACCAAAAAAAAATTGCAGTTTTTCCAGCGGGATGAAGAAACCTAGTACATTTCAAGACTTCTACCACAATATTTCGGAAAAATATTAAGATTTAAGTGAGCTGGACCGATTTGAAAATACCTTTAAAAATTGAGTTTTTTTTTATTAATAAAAATAGTTTCCTAAAGGATTTTTTGAACCAAATCCCCTCAGATGACAAAACAGTTTGAGCTTGAAAACTCTGCATAAAAAGTTGTTTAACTTTTTTCAAAGAATTGTGTAAGAAAAACTTGAATAAGTGCTCCAAAACTTTACCGATATATACTTATGAGGTATCAGTGGAAAAGTATTTTCTCACCATTTTCATTTCTTTGCAAAAAAGCTCATTCACGTCCCAATATTTTCTT